AGAATATTAAATTTTATTTTGTTGCACGTTTAAACCACGAGTTTTATAAATCAAATTGATTTGTTATACCCGTTTAACAGTCAGCAAGATCAATGTTGATCGGACGCATGCGCACTAACAAAAGTTCAGCTGACTCTTCCTGTCATTTTCTTGCAACATGCACACTGTTGAAGTCTTGACTGAAAAATCAATCGGTTGTATTTTCTATGTAACTTTATATTCAATTCTGGTGGACTAGTAACTTATTTAGTTAGTTACCAATGCATGGGGATGTCTCTAGGCCAGTCCGGTGGTTTGTGTCGTTAGATTTAATTGTTTAAAGATATACGTTTGTTTATGTTTTGATGTTGGATGGTCAGAGATTGAAACAAGTTTTTGGATATCAAAACCACGTGTTCTGAAGGGTACAAACCAAAATTATAGGTTTGGAATGTGACAGGGAATATTTTATTTGCTTAGGTAAGCACTTGTCCGTTTGATTCGAAGAATCAGGGCCGCCTTGCAACTGCAAGAGCTTCCATGCAATGCGAACTTTAAACGGTTTTTAGCATTCACTACGTCTCCTAGCGTCATATCTAAATGACAGACAGTAACAGGTGGTTCTGGGTAACAGTTTTAAATTTAGAGAGAGTTCCTTCAGGGGTACCACAAGGTTCAGTTCTACCGTCCCTTTTGTTCTTAATATATACATTCGATTTGGTCGAAAGTAACTAGCATGAAACTCAATCCTAAAAAATCAAGAAAGAAAAATACAGACATGTAAAAGTAAGTCTGGTCCTAAAAATAGGCAGCACAGGTTTGAAATTCAATATGTATGCAAAATTTTGGGGCTGCTAATAGACGAAGACCTACATTTTGGCACGCATGTTAACGTCATCAAAACATGCTATTTTAGGCTGAAACTGTTATAACGTATACAGGCGCTTCCTCAGTTTTAAAACAAAAAAGCGATTATATGAATTATTATTTCCAAAATTGCATATGGGATCATCATCTATTATCCTCCCTTAGATGTTCGCCTACAGACTACAAAAAATTCAAAATTCTTGTCGGCGGTTAACAAATAATCTTAGGAAATATTATCATGGCAAAATCAAAGATTCAGGATGGCACAAAATTGATAACCTATTCAAATATTTATTTGTGTCATTTGTAAAATTTATTATAACTACTCATTCAAAACTTCGTTTATGGAACAATCAAACATTTAAAACAAGCATTTATGATTTAAGGTATATGAGTACATTATCCATAGCAAGACATCACACAAAATATTAGGAATATAGCAAATCGTCATCAATTTAAGTCACTATCAGAACAATATAACACACAATAACAGAAATTTTGGTAGCACATAATCTTTAATTAATATATTTTATATACACAGTAACATTGCAATTTTAGAAGCTTTGAGTACTTTATTCTTATCACTTACACAGTAATAGGCATTTCCATAGATTATAGTATTATTGTATATACTTAATTTAGACTTTTTTATATTTTAAGATATTGGTTGAGCAGATTGGCCAATGGCTAGACTACTTTTAATGTTATGTTGTCATGTTAATGATGCAATATATACATATTACATTACATATAAAATTTGGAGTCAATTCTATAAAAGCACTACCTCAACTTCAGTTAACACAGATACCCATTCTAAAGACAACATTTTTATGACTACTGGAATTACCTCTTGGCTTTGATAAAGTGGTTGAGTACTTTATTGTTTTCAACACTCTTACCTGGCAAGCAAGAAGTCATCAATGAAAACCCAATCCATGCTCCTACTTCATAAGTATAGTTAGGACAAGATACATAGTTGAACAACTGGGTAAGAGGGTTGCTATTTGGCACGGGAATCTTTCTGACGGTACTACCTGGAGGTCTCAGATCTCTCAATAGCAAATGGATGCTCAGGTTGCCAACCTCACATACCTAGATGCGATGATACAGTAAAAAATTGTAATCTTCCAAATAAGCTAACAGAAACATATTTGTATTTTAAAATATAGTAAAAATTGAAAACCTGAAACAAATCGCATAATTTTAATCCGAGGTCAACTAAAGGCTCAAGCCAAAGATTAAATTCACGCAGGGTATCTAAAAAAGTTAATTACAAAAATTATATCCTGCCTTGGAAAATATTTTTATCTTTACAGGGTGATTCATAACTACGTTCTGACCCAAACATACATTATTTTAAATGGCCTACATTTTATTACGGATAGGCCCCATCAAACAGCGCAATTTGATATAGCATACCATAGAGTTTTATTTTCAAACTGTTAAGATATTGGACAATCTATCGAAAAAAATACTCAACTCGCACCTCCCCAACTGTTGTAGCTAGAGTCCTGAATTTGTCGTCAGAAAAATTTCATGATTCCATATTTTCTCGCTATCTACCATATACACCATTTTCACACTATTTGATACCGCTTTCCAAGAGCTTTCGTTGTATGTAATGTTTATGAGGGTTTTTACGACTGGTTATTTCCTACGCCACTGGTCGAGGTAGTATTGTAATCGAGAAAAATTTCGAAAATGAGATATTGTTTTTTGGACGTTATATGATATGTACATCACGAAAAACCATGTCACTCATTTCCGTCGGTCTGTCTGTCAGTTGGTTTGTGGCGGCATAGAAAAAACCAAACACGAAAAAATAAAAATCGCTTAAACTTCGTTTCACAGGCTCCTGATTATTTTCGGAAAAAAAATTGTAAGAATTGAAAATTGGGGATTGGGAGTTGCAGGGGTTAGGAAGTTGCAAATGTTACGTCTTTAGAGTCAGTTAAAGACGTTCTATTATTAAGAAGCTACTGATCCCGGTAAAATTAAATGATAAAAGTCCGTCGTATACTACGCTTATATTTCGAAAAAACTTAATCGGCGTTGCGTGCACGACGAGATACTGCGACGCGGCATCATCGTGGAGGACACTGTCGACTGTGGCAAGCGCAATAAATAGGTAACTAACTCCAACTTAATGTCGACACGAACACATGGCTACACCGCGGGGAATATTTACATATTTTATGAATATTTGGGTATTAGGAGTACGTACTATCTACTCGTACTTTAGTTAGATACTTTTGTAAATGATGATTTAATTGTTTTTATAATTACACATATATCCTTCTGAACTTTATAATCCTTTAATTTGTGTTACTCAGCATTTGATGATTCTCTGAATATTTCATCAAGTTGATTGAGTCCGTACTTATAACGCATTGATATACAACCACGGAATGACAAATGGACATAAATGAGAAACTTGATTTGTGGCGGCGGAATTACAGACAAAAAATAAAAATAGCTGGAACATGGTGTTTGTTAAAACGTTTCAGATATTCCTACTCATTTTCAGACATTGATTGAAGAGCTTGAATATTGTAGGTTGCAGGCTGTATGCGGTAAATGGTTGTAAATTGATGCATGTTTGGTGTCAGTGAAAGACCTTCTACTATTAAGAAGCTGCTGGTCCCGGTAATATTATGCACATGTAGACTTAATTAGTCACAACATGTTTTCCCTACATCTGCCATGGAGACCCACGATTAGATTCCGCCTTTTGAAACGAGTTGATTAATCCCTTTTCTTTGAAACGTCCAACAAAAAAGGCGTAGGAAGAATAGAATCTATCTACTTGAGACAATTTTTTTGAGTTACAGTTGTAAATCTTTGTAAATCAGATATGGTGAATGAAAAAATATTACAATACCTTTCAAAATCAAAAATAAAATATAGCTGGTAACAGCAGATCACTAAAATTAAGAGCATTTTCATTATAGATTAAATATTCCAAACCTCATGCAAAAAAGTCGAAAAGTCAAGGTGCCTGTGTTTTTAGTAACTCAAAGCCAGTTTTACTATCCCCCATAAACCTTTAAAAGAAAGCATACTTGACCCCCTGTATAGATGATTAAATCAACTGAAATAATAAGTGACAGAAAATATGGGATCATAACTCTTTTAAGGTGGAAAATTTAGTACCCTAGCTATAATGGTTGAGGAGATGCGAGTTGTCAAAGTTGAGATTTTGTTTCAATAGATTGTCTAATATATATATAGAGGGTGTCCGCAAAGTTGGGGTTTTCCTTTACACGACGTGTAGATCTTGAAAACATAAGCAATTTTTCTTAGTACCATATACACCAATGTCTTAAGGGAACCGAGATAAAGGGCTCTGCAACATCAAAAATATCTGAATACCGTCCTGTAGCCGCGACCCGCCGCGATATACCAGACTGGACCGGCTACTAACTGAACCCGACAGAACTGGGTCGGGGGTCGGGGTCAGTGTGTCAGGTCAGTATGCAACCTTCAACCGACGGTAAAGGGTCACGCGTATAGAGGTAACGAACCTGTATAATCGATTGCGTTTCAAAAAAAAAATAATAATGGCACACATACACCAATAATGAACTCGTTGATATGTTGTTAATTTATGGCGAATGTCTTCAAAATGCTACAGAATCGTCGCGAGTGTATGCAGATCGTTTCCCTAGACGACATCATCCAAGGCCCCGCAGATTTGTGTACCTGGTCCAGAGAGTCAGGGATACGGGCCATTTGGAGGAATTTCGAGGTGGGCACAGTGGGAGGCCTAGACAACCACGAATGGTGCAAGTTGAGGAAGAACTACTGAATCGCGTAGACGAGAATCTCTCAACAAGTACTAGAGACGTGGCTAGAGAAGTGCAAGTATCAAAAACTAAAGTGTGGCAAACGTCCAACGTGAACAAGCCCTTCAACCTGACGATTTTCCAGCAAGAGTGCGGTTTTGTGAGTGGTTGTTACATCAACATGACAATAATCCGGACTTTTTGAAGTGCATATTGGTGACAGACGAATCTACGTTCACCCGTAAGGGGGTGAATAACTTTCGATTTCAGGCAGAGACGTACTTAGCCCTTCTCGTCAACTGGAGAGTGAGTACTTTTTCCTTTATTTTTTTTTACTTGGTCGCCCTCGTTTCACTACACATTACCTTTGTTATTTCAAGGGTAGTTGTTTCTGAAAAGGAAAACCCCAACTTTGCGGACACCCTGTATATATATAAACTCAAGTGCAATATCCAGCTTAGGGCACTAAAATCTAATCAGCTAGCGATAACTTACAAGATCAATGAATAACATCTGGTGTCATAAAGTATACATCACACTTTTCCCGGGTCGATGTCCCGTGAAAGAAAAGCCAGTTCTAAAATTAAATTTTTATCTAACTTCAAATATCTGACATACCCCTTCGATGGCCACCTTGAGTAAAAATTCTTGATTTCACTATGATCATTGCATTTTACTTCAATGTCAGGGTTTGCATACTCTATATTACATATGTTTTTGTCTTTCATCTATTCTGATAGACTAGGGTGCAATATATTAAACTCAGTTTTTCTGTGATATAAAAATGCTTTGCAGATTGATACTAAGCTATGGGGTACCTTAAAACTGCAAATACTTCCATAGTTGAGTGGCTGAGTACTAGGGCATGCCATTATCGAAATGTTCCCATAATCGATAAAAAATGTATTTTTTTTCGTTAAAAACCGATAACTTATTGGTAAAAACTGATCTTTTACGTATATTATAGGAAAAAGGAAGTAAACCACCTAAACTAAACCACAATTATATTGAAAAATGACATATTCATTATGCATTTACTAATGCAAATATGATAATATATTTGATTTGATTTTGAGCAGTTTATAGATCATCACCTCTTTAGACATAAATAGGATATAGAAAGAGAAGGAAATAATATCCCTGGCAACTATAAAACATCTTTTTCAAACAAAATTTTTCTTACCACAAACATGGCCAATCCAAGGATTTGCATCCAGTAAGGAGGTGAAGTGTACAGTGGATGGTTGACATGGTAAGCAACATAAAGACAGAATCCCCAGTAGTATCCACAGTTTTTAAAAAGGTTCTTTATGGGCATAGTACCATGAGAGAAACGATGTACAAATAGAGTTTCTAAAATTCTTTTGGCATAGTGAGCAGACCAACATATCAGTGCAATCCTGGAATAAAGATCAAAATTGTTCATTTTCTTTTTCTCATTTTTTTAAGATTTGGATCTATATAGACATATCAGGAAGCTTTAAGCCACAGAAGATGGATGACAATTATTGATTTTGGAGGGTATATTTGAAATTTAGCAGAACAAGAAGATATTCTACCTCAGTAGAATGTCAATAGCAGGACTTGCAGACTTATTATGCATCAAATAGTTAGAGAAGTAGGTTTTAGTTATTTTCAAGATTGCATATGTTGGTGCAGTGATATCTTATTAGGGCTGCATAAATTCGACAAAATACATGAAGGATGAAAATGACCAAGAATTTCCCTCCAAGGAATTTTAAATGCAGAATAATCTTTTTACAACATTATAGGCTTGGTCAGGCCAAAATTATAGCAATCAGATATTCATGTCTTTTCAATAATAAGATGAAGAACATCAAGTAAGTAAAGTTCTGTAAGGTACACATATTTAATATTTACAGATAAAAGGCTATGGAAGACCTATAGTTCTTAACTGATACAAGGGGATATCCTGCTAAATAATCATTTAGTTCTAGAAATCCAATTCTAATATGCAAACCTTGCAGTGGAGCCAAGTGATGTTCCAGCAGCCTTTTCTCCATATAAAATCCAGGGTCTAATTGAAACTAGAGCATATACAACTAGAGGGCCAGCATATTCAAGGAGGAAGACTGTATTCCATCCAATTTGTGGCCCCAGGTCTTTTACATATATTTTCCTTGTTGAAGAGAGATTGGTGATTGGAGCATCATCTTTGATATCTTTCCCCTTCAGATCATCTCTAATTGATTGTCTATCCACAGATACTTTACATAGCTTTGCTACTTCTTTCTTGATTTCTTTAACTTTTGCATTTTCAGATATAGTGATAGATCCAAGTTTTTTATTCTTGGTTGTGTATACTTCTACCTAAAATGCGTAAATGATAACTTCAATATTTAATTGAGGTCTGTCCATAGTTCTAGGAACATACATGGTTCAACAAAAAAACGCTGTTTTTCTAGTTTTAATTTCTACCGACGTAAAATATGCGTATGTGTTGAAAACAGCTCATTTAAAATAAACGGAGGATTACTTACCTGCATTTTTACTACGTGTATGACTCAAATATCACTATAACACATCAATGTATGTGCATACTATTGAACTAAACTGCAAACTGGTTGTCTGAATTATTAAAGTATTCCAAAAATTGGAATTAAAAACGCTGCTTGTTAATATTCAAGGTCGACTCGTTGAATAGGTTTACTTCGTTTATTTCTTTATTGAATTTTCATTTTATTATAATTAGTTCAAAATTAGTTGGGGTCACCTGAATTATGACATTTAGGCAACACGTATGTCTTGCCCTTTCCTGTATCACAGATCACAAAATATACACTGAAAGAATGCTAACTCAGTGTAATTCAACCAGCAACACGAATGTCGCCATGTTGTCGTGGTGAAAGAACAACTATGACACAGAAAAAACGCCTGCCTACTCAGAACAATTCGACGAAATGACATATGCCGCCATGTTTCTTACAATGACATACGGCGGTGCTCTCATGGTTGCCTACTTTCTCACCACATCTGTCACTCATTGTGAATGTGAACTTTATTTGGTTGTTTTGAATGGTTTTCCTAATAACAAAAATTAATTTTGCATTCGGAACAACAATTCAAACACCTCACGTGTATTTGTGATTGGGTTCGTTCAAGAGTGATAAATAAAACAATATATAATTAGGAAAATAACTTTATTCTGGTAGATAACGTAATGTGGTACATTTGCAATATAGTGCATTGAAGAATCACAAACCCCCATGGGAGGTTTCTGAATAATACTTCGAATATACGATCATAGGGAAACTACAAACAACCCATGATACCACATTCAACAAAAATTCAATAACAAAAGTATTGTGAAATCTGTATGTAAAGGGTACAAGATTTCGTTAATCAAACATTACATACTTCTGACTAAACATTAATGAATCTCATAGCCCCATAGAAGGGTTTATCTCTGCATAGCCCCACAACCCCCTCTTCCACATAGCGACATAACCCTAGTTCATCAACAGTGTTGCCACAGCGTTGTGAGTCACAACTTGTGACCAAATTACTTGCAAATGCCAGACAGTTTCACAAGTTCAAAGTGTTTTTATTCGTTAGGTAATGACAAGTATCGAAATCTTCTGCAAGTTCAATTCTATCGCTGAATGAATTTTTTGAGAACCTGTGCTATGAATTCCCATACTGAGCAGACCCGGCTTCTTGCGACAGGATGTAATGACTCTAAACACTTTTATAAATTCCCAGTTTTATATGTGGTTTTGTATAGGATAAAATACTTTTTTGCCTCTGCATACGGGACTTCTCTCATCAAGTGGAAAAAAACACAATATTATTATATAAATATATTTAATGACTTTTTGATCTAAAATTTCATGATCATTAATAGGATAAGTACAATTTTCATTTTATCTACTATTCATTAGGGGAACGTCTTTTTTTAGTGACTGCATTCGCACTTGGGCGAGGAAAACCCCTAGAAAACTTCAACCGTCACTGCTAAGATCGATTGTATCAGGTGAAGAAAAATCAAGTCGTTCCATAATTCTGGGTTCATTTGCACAATCGAAAGTCGCCAGCATGCCACAGTTATTAACCTAAAAAAAAGTAGCATTGAAGTAACGGTTTATACGAGGGAAATTTTTTAAGTAAGAACCGTTTTGTAATCAAACAAACTAAAATATGAGCATTTTTATTTTTTCCATAGGACACCAGAAAATGACGCTAAATAATGGCAATATGTTTTGTAAGTTATGTGTATGCAGAATAATCTGTTACTCATGAAATGGTCTTGTCAAATACCATGCGGGCATCTAATTTTTTCCTGTGAAAAAATCGAAAAAACACAATGCAAAGTAATATTTTTTCAACAAAAAACATTCCACGGGCCAGCTTAGGTCTATTTAACATCACTAACACGTAAAAAGAAGGTGGTAGACAAGGACTAGTCGACCGAGGCAGTACCACCCGCTAGCTTTTCCCAGGGTGTCTTATAAATGTCCGCATGTTTCCACACCTAAGCTATGCAGTCGGTTATCCTCCAAAACAAAGAAATTAATGATGATGGATCCATCGAGCACCAAGAACTCCGGACGTAAACTCACTCCACTCTCGAAATGTCCGGGTGGAGGGTGGGCTCGAGGGAACAACATCAAAGATAAAATTTGTTTTTTGAACATATGCGGGATTAACAGCAACATTGATGCTGTTCATCACTACCTGCATTCTAATCGTCCCGCCGTGCTTTTCTTGGCGGAGACAACAATCTCAGAGTCAGCACCGATTAACCATCTTAACTTCCCAAGCTACGAGGTGCACTCCATCTGAGAAAGAACGGGGGAGTTGTGGCTTTTGTCCGCAGCAGTCTTTCCTGCTCCAGAGATGTTTCTTTGAAATCACACCGGAAGGACATTCTGTGGCTTCGCTTCAACTCCAAAACATCACCCAAGTTTGTTTGCTGCCTTTACCGCTCTCCCTCGGACCATAACTGGGATGACCTACTCGAATACCTCGCCGTCCAGATCGACTTCCTGAACATCAATCATCCCGCTTCAGAGGTAGTTCTTCTCGGTGATTTCAAAGCACCATAACGAGCTTTGGTTGGGCTGAAACAAGACCGACACAGCAGGTCGTGGAGTCGAAGCGTTCGCTCTTACCCAAGGGCTGACTCAGCTGGTGACGAGTCCTACTTTTTTCCCCCGCGTCTCGTCACACGCCAGTAGCCTGCTGGATCTCTTTCTGACCACGCATCCTGCCCTTTACAGCACTGCTGTCCTGTCCCCCCTGGGTAACTCAGACCACGGTGTTGTGGAGGTTAGGTTTCGGTCAGAACCCGCTGTGGCAGCAGAAACTCGAACATGCCGCAAGACTTGGCATTACGGACATGCCGACTGGGAGGGGCTCAGAGATTTCTTCTCTAGCTTTCCTTGAAAAGATGTCTGTTTCACTGACGCGGATGCGTCGGATGTCTGTTCTTCGATAACCGAAATGATCCAAGTCGGAATGGAGGAATACATCCCTCACACAGTGAAAGTGCCTAGACCAGGTTCCAACGGCTGGTTTAACAAATCGTGTGACGCTGCTCGCCAGCAGAAGATCAAGGCACACAGAACCTTCTTACAAAGCCACACTGTAGAGAACAGACAAGCCGACGTTGAGTCCAGAAACAAATATGAAGCAGCGGTTCGCAATGCCAAAAACCAGCACGATATAAAAGTTAGGCATAGGGTAATGTCGCAGCGCAATGGCAGTCGGTCTTTCTGGACGCTGACCAAGCAGATTGAAAGGAACTTCTCACACAGTAGCCTTCCACCACTTACGTGTCAGGATGGAACTACTGTATTCAACTCAAAGGCCAAGGCGGAAGTGCTAGACAAGATCTTTGCTGCCAACTCCACCATGGACGTCCCCCCCAACGCCCAAGTGCCGTCAATTCAAAGGGTTCCCTACACTATGCGGGAGGCAACATTCAGGCATAAGACCGTAAGACAAGTGCTCTTGTCGCTCGACATCAACAAAGCTTCTGGTCCGGACTTGATTCCTGCCATTGTACTGAAGAGGTGTGCACCGGAGCTTGCTCCAGTTCTTTCGCGTCTCTTCCAGATATCTTATGAATCCGGCACCTTCCCAGAAAACTGGAAATTTGCTCATATCCAACCCATCCCAAAAAAGGGATCTAAGACCGACCCTCACAACTACAGGCCTATAGCTCTGCTTTCTGTTTTAAGTAAGGTGATGGAGAGGTGCATAAATCGCGAGCTGCTGTACTACCTCGAACGTCATGGCTTGATTAGCGACAGCCAGTATGGTTTCCGGCACCAACGATCCACAGGGGACCTCCTAGCTTACGTTACTCAATTGTGGAGTAAACTCATCCAGTCTTATGGTGAGGCTCATGTCGTTGCTCTTGACATCACGAAAGCGTTCGGTCAGCTGTGGCACGCTGCCCTCTTAAGCAAACTTCCATCCTATGGCCTCCCAGAAAAGCTTTGCAGATGGGTGGCTGACTTTATCTCTGGCCGCAAAATATCCGTCGTAATTGACGGGTTCTCCTCTTCATCCCACAACGTCAACGCGGGTGTTCCCCAGGGATCGGTCTTGGCTCCGACACTGTTTCTCTTACACACCAACGACCTCCTTTCCTGCACGATCAACCCAATCCACAGCTTCGCTGATGACAGCACTCTACATGCAGGAATTCAGAGTGACAAGCCGATCTCTGCCGCTGAGTTGGAAAAAAGAAGACTAGCGACGACTTCCTCTCTGACACGAGACCTGGAGGCTATCACTGCTTGGGGACGCAACAATCTTGTACAGTTCAATGCTTCCAAAACGCAGTACTGTACTTTGTCGAACAAAAAGCGTCCCTGCGCTCATCCGGTTTCGATGGATGGTCGAGTTCTGCCAAAGAGTCATTTCGGCTGGTCGGAGTCCAGATCACCGAGGACCTGATCTGGCACGAACACATCTCGTCAATAGCGGCAGCTGCTGGAAAAAAGCTAGGCTATTTGTTTAGGGCTAAGAAGTACTTTTCTCCGCATGACCTTCTCATTCTATACAAGGCCCAGATAAGGCCTAGCCTCGAGTATTGCTCGCACGTTTTGGGTGCTGCCGCCCCGACTACATTATCCATGCTCGATGCTGACCAGAGGAGGGTGGTCCGACTGATCGATGACTCTTCTCTAACAGACAGTCTCGGGACTCTTTCGCACCGGCGGCCTGTCGGCGATCTGGCTCTTTTCTACCGTTACACCAACGGGCTTTGCTCCTCAGAGCTCTCTTCCATGATGCCGTCGCGCGATGTGCCTGCCAGACAGACCCGCCTAACTTTGGCGTCCCATCCTAACCGTGTCGAACTTCGTACATCCAGAACCGGCCGATACGACCGCACCTTTGTCCCGAGGGTGTCGAGATTGTGGAACAATCTACAAGAGGAAGCTTTCCCCAGTTCTATTAACCTTGGGCAGTTCAAAAATCGTATTAATAAAATTTCTTTGGGATCATCATAGCAGCCGCGGTGTTCCGGCATTTAGGCTTCTGCCTGCGCGGCTGCTTCGATATATAAAAAAAAATCGTGCAGTTGGATAAATCCTCGTCTTCTACTCGGATTTTTGTTGCCATTAGCACTCGTTCTTCTTGTAGAATATTACTTAGCAGCGTATTTTTTCGATTTTTTTCAGAAAAATTAGATGCACTCATGATAATCCCCCATAGTTCTCTGGCCAATCAAAACCGCATGTGTGTTGAAAAAAAATCTTTATTTAGTCTAGTCCACTTGTTTGTAATGCGACGATAATTTCACCCAACTACTTGAAATTCTTCAAATCCATAGTATTCATACTTCTAAATAACGTCAAAATTAGATTATATGGGTCAGGTAGTTTTTTGAG